TTGAAGAAAGAGGCCTGAACTAGGGGTCAGGAACTCCTGGGTTCCAGTCCACCGATGCCACCAAACAGCTGCTCAGTTGTCTCAGTGACAGAACAAGGGGGTTGAATCAGCTACTGTCTGAGGCCCATATTGGCCAAGGCAGCCCAGTGGAGGGCCCAGCTCCACGGCTTATAGCCCAGCAGGCCCTGGCTTGGGGCTGAAGGCTGAAAGCCTGAGGTTATCAGCAAGTTCCCCCTTCTTAGGACTTTCTCTGTGATTGCCTGACTTTGCTGAGCTAGGGAAATTCCTGGGCACACATGAGTGCCTCAGCTGACATCCAGGGTGTGGGTGAGGGGGCTGAGGCTGGAACAGGAGGAGGAAAGGGGAGAACAGGTTCAAAGCCTCCCTAGGGCCTGAAAGTACTCAGAATCGCAGCCAGCCAGTGGGTGGGACCTTCAGCCATTATATAGAATAGGGGCCGGCCAACCATTTCCACCTCTTGGGCTTCCTTTAGAGGGCTGTGCTCAGAAGGATCTGAGGTTGTGTGAATCTCAGTGGAAAGCAGTGCTGTGGTTGATTAGTGATGTCTGTGTTGACAGTGGAGGGAGGGGTGATGGTGAGATAAGTCAACCATTTGACACTTCTGATCTTTTACACATTAATGTTATTATAATCGCTCTACTTTACAAGTGAGGCAACCAAGGCCCAGAGAGGAAAAATGACTTGTCTGAGGGGCCAGGCCTCCAAGGTTCTGCATCAGCCATAGCACCCAATGCCCAGCACCCAGCACCCTACAGGCTCTCGGTTAACCTGTGTAGGGAGAGGCTCACCCTCTCCCATCAGGTCTCTCTGTGGAGCTCAGACTGCAGGTGTCACCTACCATCCAATTCCCCCAACAGCTGGCAAAAGGCCTGGCTATCTGCATTCATTTGCATATCCCTAGACCAATACCAATCCTGGCACATCACAGCAGGCTGGCCTTGGAGACTGGTAAATCCAGCCTCCTCTCCAAGGAGAGGGTGCCCTGTGAGGGCCATACTGGGAGGAGGCATGTGGCTGGGCATGACCTCAGTCCTAAGTGCCACCCTCTTTTAGCTGTGTGACCCTGGACTGCTCTGTTGACCTCTCTGGGCATATGTCACAGGGTGTTGGGAGGATGGGGTGATGACGGTGTGAAAGGGACCAGGATTCAATGTTCAGAATCCCTCCTAATTTGGGGGGAAAGGGAAGCAGCCGCTCACCTGCTGTGTAACTTCAGGCAAGAGATGTCTTCTCTGGGTCTCCCCTCCCCTTGGGTAAAGTGAGGAGGTGGGGCATTTTCTGTGTGACCCCAGCTAGCGGGGAGATGCTGAGTGGAAGCTAGGTCCCAGTGATTGCTACAGGCCTGACCCCTCCTGGACAGACTCAGCTATTCTCATAACCTCCTACTCTGCCATTGGCTCCACCAAAGCTCTGAGAGCAGGTATTGTTCTTACAGATGAGAAAGTGGAGACCAGAGAGGTGGAGTTACTTGCACAAGGTCACAGGGCCTAGAAAAAGAGACGGGACTCAAACCCGGGCTTGACTTTTAATCCAGTGCTCCTTTCCTTGTTTCCCATGCCCTACCTGGGGGCCAGGCATCATGAGGACAGAACCTCTTCTGCTCCTTTCCCCTCCTCCTGGCATCTGTGGACCAGCCCAGCCATGTAGAAGCCAGGAGGCAAGTGAAAAAAAGGAATTGGAGATGGGGCCAGAAGGTTTCTCTCAGTGATACTCAACTGGGCTTGGGCTTGGCACTTGGTTCAGACCCTGACAAACTAGGTGACGGATGGTGTCAGAGCCCGCACCCATCCAAACCTCACCGGTGCCTACTCCCTCCCTGCCAGGCCCCATGCTGGCAACATCAGCACCCAGAGCTGCCTCGGCCTGGTTCCTGCCTGTGAGCTCCCTGTCTGGTGGGCAGACAAGGAAACAGGCCCTAATAAGGAAAGGGAGAAGTGCTGGGTGGGCAGTGCCTAACAAGTCCTAGGGGTCGGGGAGGGCTTCCTGGAAGAGGTGTCTACACCCAGAGCAGAAAGATGAGTGGGAGTCTGCCAGATGAAGTGAGGGGAGAAGTGTCACATGGTGTGGGGTGGCCAGAGGCAAGAAAGCGTGGGGTGAGAGGAAGTAAAAGATTCCACGTGGCTGGAATGCAGACGGAGGTGGACAGTGGAGGGAAATGAGCCCGGGGGCCATGCGGGTGAGCCTGCACCCTGTCCCCAGGATAGTAGGGAGCCATGGACGGTCTGCATCTGGGAGATGACCTGGTCAGATTCACGCGGTGGAAAGACCCTCTGGTTGCTGAGTGGAGGGTGAGTGGACACCTCCCTAGCAGTGTGTGTGTCGGGGGAAGGTGGCCATTTAAGAGGCCTGTATTGAAGGGTAGGGTTGGTGGAGTGGTGTATATCAGTGACAGGCTAGAGTCCTGACTTGGGACTTTCTGGGCCTCAGTTTCCCCCAGCTATACCACAAGAAGCCTGGGTGGCTCTGAAGACCCTCCTTGCCCAGGGCCAGGGTGGCTGCCTCTGTCAGGGGATCTCGAAGTGCCAACTTCCCCTTCCTGTCCCACTCCTCACTTCCCTCTGGGGTGTCAGAGCCCCTGGCTGTGTGGGCCGGGAGGGCTGGGGATTTCTAAAGCCCTGGATTGTCCCCACCTCGGCCTGAGTCACACTGAGAATTCAGCAGCCTTTACTTGAGCTTCTGCTCTGTGCCAAGCACAGCTCTAAGCACTGGGGACACGGCAGTGGACGGGAAGATCTGTGCTGTCTGAGCTGGCATTCTAATGGGGAGGCAGAGCCTGAACGAATAGGTAAAATACGCGTGGGTAGTAATGATGTACAGTGAGTGCCACAGAGAAGCAGGAGGAAGGGAGGGGAGACAGGGAGGGGGTGTGTGTGCGCGCGTGTGTGTGCGTGTGCGCGTGTGCCAGGGCTTGGGAATTCTAAACCGAGTGAGAACATGAGGTCTGAGGAGCGACCTGCAGGAAGCGGGGAAGCAAACTCCGCGGCTGTTTGGGGAAGAGCAGGCCTGGGGGCAGCGTGCGCCGGCTGCAGGCGCAGAGGGCGGGGCAGCGGGAGCGCGAGGCAGGCAGGCCTTGCCCGAGGCCACACCGTGCAGGGCCTGGTGAGCCGCTGTGGTGATTTTGGCTATAATGGGAGTGAGGTGGGAGCCACCGGAGGGTCCTGAGAGAGGAGTAACGTGATCTGACTTAATACACAGCCATTGTGTCACCCAGGGGAAACTGAGGCACAGAGAGGTTAACTGATGGGCCAGAACCCTATGGCTGGTACAGCCTCTGAAAGGCCCCCGTGTGTCTCATGCCAAAGTCCGTGCATTGTCATTTCTCCAGTGTCTCTGAGAGACACCGGGCCTGCCAGAACGGGTGAGAGGCCGGCCCACAGACAGCTCAGGGAACCCCCGCTCCACTCTGTCACACTGGGTCTCGCTAGTGAGAACTGACAGGATGCTGCGTCCCCGATCACCCTTCTGCCCTGTTCTCCGGTGCTCCTCACCCCGTCACATTCTCACGGGGATTGTCAGACGAGGAAACCAGCTAAGACTGAATGGAGAAGAGCAGAGTGGCTGTGGCTGCAGGATTGCTGCTTTAAAGGGAACTTTGGGACACAGTCCCTTTCCTAGCCCAGAGCAATGACCATTGGCCTGTCAAGTGTGAAATGTCATTGACTAGTACACGTGTTCTGTGTACTTTTCTGTATGTAGTTTGCACTTTAATGAAAATGTTTCTTTTTTAATGAAACAAAATACACATGTCTGGGTGCCTGTGGAAGAATGGCTGGGGAAAGGGGTCATTCATTTGGTGCATACTTATTGAGCACTTCTTATGTGCCAGGCACTGATTTAAGGATATTGATGCAGTGGTAGGACAGGCAAGGCCTTGACCCTTGTAGACTTACATTTTGGTGGAGGAGGAGTGGGAAGGAGAGAGACAGACCATAAACAAGTCACCAGACATAAAATTCTCACAGAAGAGGTAACTGTTTTGAGGGCTAGTAAATGGGGTTATATGATATAACACAACAGGGTGTTTTAGCCAGATAGTTAGACCTCTTTGAAGAGGTGGCATTGAGCAAAGATGTAAGTGATGAAGAGAATAAAAGGGAAGAGAGTGGTAAGTGCAAAAGCCCTGAGGCTGAAATGAGCCATTCAAAGAGGCCACTGTGGCTGGACCCCTGGGATGGACAAAGGTGGTCTGAGATGAGTTCCAAGACAACAGGGCCTTGAATGCCAAGGTAGTGAGTTAGGATTTTAAGTGGGAGGAAAAAAAGTGACCTTGGCCTCCTCTCTCCTAGGTCTCAGCCCAGAGGGTACCTTCCGCAAAGATGTCTGTGGATCCCTTATCCAGCAAAGCCCTGAAGGTGAGGAGGCAGCCCCTGAAGTCCCCAGTCCTCCCCCTCCCTCCCGG